ACCCTATTTGTTCATGGAGGCTTCAAGTTACTGCTGCATCTGTCTGCATATCCCACACCTCAGGTGATGAATGAAAACACCTTAGCTACAAGGCACGCTGATGGGTCATTAGATGTCATTAGTCTAGAAGTGTTTCATTTGAAGCATATTGCAAAAAATTCCCAAAATTAGACCAGTTCTTGGTTGGTAATCTATACCTTCTCTGACCTCATGTCAACAGGAGAGTGCAATGCCTTCTTATTTGTATGTTCTAAGAAAAATCTCACTACAGACATGTGAACTGGAGAGTAGGGCAAGATTTAAAATAATCTCTAGAAAATATTCCCTCAGTTAAAACCAAAATAAGGCAAATTGTAATTTTTGATCCGCATAATCTTGCCTTCATTTTGAAACAACACAGCCTATGAAACTAAACCTTGGTCACAAACTAACGCTTTCATAAATGTTTAAATTGAAAAAACACTATTAGCCTAAATATGCTCAGAAATGTGAGCAATAACTCAATTTAGGAAACCACATTAACATTATTAATCAAAATACTGAAGACAGACTGCTGACAACACTGATCTGTGTGCAGCATATTAGTGAAACAAGGAATAAGGCTTGTACTCTGAGATCATCTTCATACTGTAAAGCCAGGATGTATCCATCATGTCACTAAATGTCATTTATAATCCATTGTAGAATAAACTCCTGAGTTAACATTTTTGTACTGCAGGCTGCCAGAAAAAGAAAGAAAGCTTTTAAACACTGTTCATGACTTGAAAACGTTAATAATTTGGGATAAACATTAAAATACTGATAGAGCATTCCTATCAGAGTCTATGAATTGAGACGATGCACCCCAAGAGAGTCCCTGCAATACAGCAGATTATTGGGTTTATGAAAGAGTAAATAGACAAGCTTTTCTCAGAGTCAGATAGCCACAAAGGCATTCTTCCTGGGGCTGAAGTGGCATTGGCATGAAATCAGTTTGTAAATCACATTGTGCATCACAATGCTACCTCTAATTATTTTATGTATTCTAACTTCCAAATAATCTCTCCTCCAGAGCCCTCAAATACTGCCATACCTAGTCAAGCGAGACCTTTTCTTAATGGTTCAGCAACACTCACATGTGTAAAAGGAAAGCTGTGACAGAGTTTTGTGGCTCCTGAGCAGAAGGTTTTTATTCTACCCAGGAACATCGAGCTGACCCTGGCAGACCCTGGCTGCGTTAGTTCTGGTGCTGCAATGTCAAACTTTTAGCTGCTACTTGGAAATAAATGTAGCACTGGAAGAAGGTGCCTGCCAAAGAGTAGTGGCAGGATTTTGGTATCTTCTTTGGCTGAGGGGAGAGAGAAGCCATGCCAGCTTCTTCTGTCATGCTGTAAAGAGACTGAAGGGATAAGGATTTCATCACAAAACAAGCAGTCTTTGGCTTGTCTGCCAAGGTTGCCAGCAGTTTTAGGGGCAGAGGCACCCATTCCCTGCAAGAGCAGTAATCATCCTGCTGCATACGATGGGCTATCAAACAGCTGATGTGCACTGGTGACTTTTGGTTTCTAGCAAAGTACAAGAATTGCAAGAATTGTACCTTGCTAGGTAAAAGATGCAAAGTTGTCATCATACTTTTTATCTTTACCAGTTCTGTAGGACATTTCTTAATCTGTGTGAAAAGCAATAGCTATTTGTCTTCCTTCTGTCTTGTCCCGGTATATTTATTATATCATACCATGCTATATTTATGGCATCAAATGTGCTGTTCATTTTCATTTTGGTCTGTAGATTCAGAACAGAATTCCGTCTTTTTGGATTTGTTGCTAATTCCTTTAGTGAGCAAGCAAGACCACAAAATTCACAGTAAATGTTGTCAACGAGCATTTGAATGAAAACTTAAAATACTTGCCTTCAGAACACTTTTGGCACCCCAGTAAGACAGTCATTTGTTCAGATGTACAAAAATACTGCTTAAATTACTGACAGGCGGTGAAGTGCTTTAGTGAAGGATTCCTACCTGATTTAATCCCATTCACAGCAGTTTCTATGTGACGCTTGCAAAAGGACAAGCCCTGAAGTTAAGCAAGGTGTGCACAGAGAGGTATGTTTGCAAGTTCTGGCATTGGTATAGATGCTGGTGCTTGATACCTTTGTTTGACTACGTAGTTCTGCAGTGGCAGTGGACTTCCACAAACCAAAGGTGGGAAACGCACGGGATCTTCCAGGGTTTACCTTACCTGAGCAAGCAAAACCACACGAGCACAAAAAGCCTTGTGTGCTGGGCAGTGTTTGTATTACAGCCAGAATGTCTTCACAGGTTCAATTTTTTTTTTATGCACTAATTAAGGAAACATCTTTTTCATGAAGCAGATTTGGAGTCTGTGTCTGCTCCTGTAGAAGTTGGTATGGATTTTTCAGTTGACCTTGGGATGTGTCAGAAGAGATGAATATGTTGCAAAAGAGTAAGCTTGGATTTACAGGGGGAAATCCTGAAATGATCATTACCCCTTTTGGTGTAATATTAAGCCACAAGCAATAATTTATGGGAATTTTTAGCATTGTTGAAGAAATCCACAACAATACGAAGGTTGGCTGAAAGTATGCTACCTGGCTTTTTTGTAATATGTGTTAAGGTCCTACGTTTTTTAAACAGTATTACATTTGGATTGAAGTCCTACTTTGTAATAGGACAGATTTTTGAAAATGTGTTTCCACTTTACTTACATGCTGCTGAGCTAGGATTCAATGTCCCCGTTTACAGCTGGCTTCATCAGTGTTGCTTAGGTCAGAGCCCAGGCATGTGGGCCCCACGTTACCTAGCCGTGACATCATTTTCAATTGCAAAAGAAATACAGAATCTGAAATGGAAGAGGAGTGAAAGGGACTGCAGGCTCTAGTCTATAATTGGGAATCTTTACTTTCATTAAAAAATGTCTTAGCAGAAGCTTTGTTGTTCATCTTTCCATATAAGTGGATATATTCTCATTGTCTGCTGTTAAGAGGAATATTTTTAACAGCTATGCAAAGGTCCTTGGGGTACATGTGTGTAATAATAATTTTTTGCTTTTAAAGGAAATCATCTGTAAATCCCATTAGTTATCATTTTTCAATTTTCATCTTTCTAAGCATGATTTAACTTCAAGTGTTGCAGTTCTTAAATCTAATTAAAGAATCGCCTTTATTTCCCATCAGAAAGTCAACCTACTGTAGATTGTTTGATTGAACATTGGAGATGAACAAATTAAAGTCTGTACCCATTCTGGTATGAAAGAGCTACACGGACATTCCCCAGGTGTAGAGCAGGGCTGAACTGGCTGCCCTCCCTGTGGGAGGTACAGACCTGATCTCATACTAGTGAGGCTACGGGAGGAGCCAGTGGGACCACCAGCAGGTGGATGAGGAGGCACATTTTCATCCAGCGCCTCTCCTGATGCCTTCCTGGGAAGTGATCCCTGCCAAGGGGAGAGGGCTGTGAAAGCAGCCTTAACTCTGCCCCTTCGGCCCCAGTCCTGGCGGGCAGTGGTGGTCCCTCTCCCCGTCAGCACGCTGTGTGGCCTTCCCCTCCCCCTGCTGCTGCAGCCCTGCTTTGTGCTCTGCAATATCCGATAGCAGCATCCATGGAAACCACCACTGACAGCGTCTTGCAAAAGAATTTGTTAATTAAAAGATGTTTAAAATTACAATAAAGTTGCTATCTTAAATCCAACAGGAATATTGCAAACAGTATCCCATTCTGCCATCAGTCTCCAAAGCTGAAATGCAGTTGGGGATGAAGTGCCCCTTTGCACCTAGTTCTCATCTTCTGTTATCTTAGCACACAATCAGAAGGCATGTATTAGGAGTTGCAGTGGTGAGGGCTTGACCCAATCCTATGACCGCCCATAAATTCTGTTATCTGTCCCCCGATTGAGCAGAGGGCAAGGTAGTGTGGGGTTTCGTCCCCATCCTTGGTAGAGAAGCCTCTGCAGTGGAGCCATTCCCAAGAGCACGGAGAAGGTAAGAGGGGGCAAGCAAGAAGGGAAAGAGTTAAGATCAAACAAATGTCTTGCAGACTGAAAGGAAATAAAAAGCTAAAATGTCGTCAGAAATGTATGGGTGATTGAGCTGAGGAAACGTTAAGTGTGCTCAGTCTGAGGAGGTCTCGGGGGAAGTAACTGAAATCGTCTTTGTGTTCAAGGCCTGGATCTGTGCTACTTGTGAAACTGAAGATCATTTGCTGCCTTTGCATGAAGGAATCACATGGTGCAGGAGGGTTGTGAACCTGAGAAGTCAGCAGTCTTTGCTAAAAAAGCTCTAAGTGTCACTTTACCAGCACCTAGACATTATTCTTTAAGAAAAGATGATGTTCTTGCTACATGGAACAGCAGGGAAAAGTAGAAGCCAGTAAGGGATGTTCTTTGGGGTAGAAGAGTTGATGCAGTTTTAATGTCTGCCTCTGGCTGACCGCTTCCCTTGGGCAATTAAAGGTGGCAGCCGTAAGGTTATGGAAGAGCCTGGGAGCAGATGGGCAGAAGTATCAGCAAGGCAGCACTTCTGCAAGAGCTCGCTTCCAGCAGGGTCCATGAGATGCGAGACTCCACGTAAACTCTGAGGAAGGGGTGTTTGGTGTTCTTGTGGACACACAAACAGATGAGTTCGACCCCTGCTGTTTCAAGACTTCTTTACTAATATTTTTTGGCAGTTTTCCCTTTCCATCAATGAGTAGGCTGTGAGTAGTTCTAACCTAAAGTATCTCTGGTAGCTGATACTCAGGCTGGAAGGATTAAATGTGTGACATGCAGAACGGGGAGAATTAATTTATTGGTGTTTTCTGTTCAGCAGGAAAGGACAAACACCCCAGGCATTGAAAATTGCGTTTTTCTTTTTATATTAGTTACCCATATAAAAGAGTGTAAAATAAAAGCTGTATTTAAACTTTTCCAAGGAAAATATTAACTTACTCTAAGGCCAAAATTTCTCAAATTCTTATCCCTGTTATTTCATTCTAATTCTTATCACAAATCAATCTTTTCTCCCAGCAGAAATAATTGGTTCCGGCTAATAACAAATCCTCGTCTCGATTTCATTGGCTTGTATCTTGGGCGACGCAAGAAACATTCTGTAATGGCTCAAAATATCCCTACTGGATAATGTAAGTAGACCACCAAATTAATCCAATTAAATTTTTTAACCTTTCAAAGTTAAAACCCAAGGATTTAGACACTGCCCACAAAGAGAACTAAACATGATCAGATCTTTTTACTGTATCTCATTTTTGCATGTTGATATACACTTACATGAAAATGCAGTTATCTCTATTGGTTATTTTTGTTTACAAGTGTCAATAAATATTAATTTTACAGTTAAAGTGAATGTATTAAAATGGAGACCCACATCCCAGCTACATACCTGCAGTTAAACAGTATTAGCCCTCTGTGTGTTGAGGATTCAAACCAGTCGATTTGTAATTTGTTTCCTAACGTCCAGGAGGAACAAAAATGAACTGTGCAGAGAAAGAAAAAGAACAGAAATTGTATTGGCCTGTCTTGCTGAGTAAAGTGATGGTTAAAGAGTAATTCTGTGAACAGCATAACTTTATTGCGGAATGAAACAACATGCTCAGAAAATGGCTGCTGTCTCTCTGGCATGGTTGTTTCCACATCTGACACCTACCAGTGCCGCTCACAAGGGCGCTGATGGCAGCTGAAAGTTGCAGTAAGAGGAAGGAAAATAATTTCAGGCTGATTCATTTCAAGAAATGAACCAAATCCCTGGATCCTCTGACAATGGCATGTAAAAAAGTGTGTGTGTTTCTCCTTTGTTAGCAATGTGAGGTAGAAATACACAGGTTTCTTCACACCTTTTCCCCTGTCTTTTACTTGACGGGGTTGGCAAGTGGAGAAAGGTGACAGGGGGCTCTGTACCAATGCCCCATCTCATTTCAACTAGTGCCTACTGCAGGTGTGGGAGCCTCTTGTCTTCTTCCCTATGAAAATGAGGCTCTCAATCCATAGCAAAACATTCCCCAAAAGTATGAAAACTGTGTGTGTTTGTATCAAGTCCAGCTGTATGTTGATTTGACCTGATTTTATCAAACCAAGCAAGAGTTTTTGAAGATTCTGATATTTCACGTTATTCAAGTCCCATTCAGCAATGCTGTTTCAGGTAGGAGGTAAAACAGAACTATTTTGCTACAGGCTCAGACCAGAGGGACACTCCTTCAGCACTGTGGCCTGAAGAGTGGTTTGCTTTCTAAAGTTACTGTAAAAGTCAGAAGCCATCATGCAAGTCAGAAGCCATCAAGGTTGTGTTTTAGCAAGAGCCATTCCTAACTCCTCTGCAGAGCTTCTGCCTCAAGCAGAGGCCAAATCACGTAGGTCTCTCATTTTGTGGTTCCTGGGGAGATGCTAGGCTGTTTGCTGGGGAGTGGTTGCTTTGTTGTGAGCATTTGCTGGGTTGTTTCAAATCAGCAACTGGGGGTCAGGTTTGGGGGCCGGGCTGCTCATTTGTCTCCCAGCTGTGCTTGCTGTGGCCGCCAAGGACGGAGCGAGAAGCTGATGGTTAAAGGCGGAGCTAAGCACTCCTTCAGAGCTGTCCCTGTGAGTGAGGTGGCCCTACCACAGTCCGTCAGCAGCTATCAGTGCTCAATTTTCGCTGTGCACTGTGCTGTCATGCAAGGTGCAGTTCCACGGGGCAAGTGAGAAGGGTGGCGTTTAAGCTGCCCAAGCAGGGGATGACACCTAAGGGGTGTGTCTTCTGTATTTTGAAAGTTATAAAGTGTCACAGACTAGATGCAAGTCAACAATGATGTACTTTTCCAAGAAGATGACTTGCTGGGTGTGAACTGTGTTGTGCGTGCAACGCATGAATTAGTCCTTTTGAGGTAGCTGGCATGAGTAAGGACTCAGCTGGAGTATTTGTGTGTCTGCTTTGGGGCACAACCCTTCCAGAAAAATATAAGGAAGGGCAAAGACTAACAACAAGAACGACAAGGAATTTAGAAAATAGGATGTAGGACAGCAAGTTGAAATAACGTAAGCTGTCCTTGAGTCTCTTGGCTAGGCTGTGCAACTCTGGAAGGTCTAAGAGCCTGCTGGAGAGAGGTGGTGCCTGTGGTCTGTCTTCTGTGAGCTGGATAAAGAGGAGTAAGTTGCAGCAAGGAAAATGTAGGTTAGATTTAAAAAAAAAAAACACCTGTGCAGCAGAGAAGGGAGAGAAGCACCAGAGAGTCTTCTTGCAGCGGTCCTGGGGTCTCCAGTGCCAGGTGGGGTTCGAGAAGAGTTGAATAAATGCTGGTCAGGAGGGCTCTAGGTCACCAGTACTGCTGACAGGAGATGAGTGGGGGTGCTCCTCATGGTCTCGGAGCCATGTGGTTCTGTCGTTCTTTATTTTTATGATAGTTAATTTTGAAACATTATCACTGCAGATGTGAAGAGCGGGAACATGCCTATGTCTGGCAACTGATCGGCATGGGGCGTGTGCGGGGATGGAGGTGGGTGATGTGTGAAGGTAGCTCCCCTAATCTCCTCGCCCCACCCTAGCAATTGCAGATCACTGCGTTAGTGAGGAGCTCTACTTCTCTTGAAGATACCGTCTTTTTTGCATGTTAATAATTTCTTCATTTTTTCCCAATGCTTTCGATTTGGGGATTCGTACTGGTGGCTAAGTAGTATTTTTGTATCACTGCATAGAAATAATATCAGCACATCTTCCAGCCTGGATTCTGCATTGCCTCGTTGGGTTTCTTTGTCATGTGTCAGGTCACTAACATCACTTCAGTAGGGTTTTATAATTGCATTTAATATGTCACTTACTATGCACGCCTCATCTGATTTCTATGGTACTAATGAGATAATTTATCTTTGCTGCGTTGCACAGTCAGTTGTGTGTTGATAACGCATTTAATTTTACTGAGTTACAAAATCTTGGCTGATTTTAGAGAAGGGTCAGAACCAAGATAATTTTGTATTTTAAAATACTTATCAACTCCAAACCTTTAATGTTAGTTTTCTCTTTGTCTTTTCAGCTAGGGCAACTCCATCCTGAATTTTATTCAGAGAATTCATAAAATTTCTGTCATTTGAGTGATAAAGGAACCAAAATGAGAAGGTCTGTGCTAATGTTTATTAGCTGTTTAGGGCTCATTTTGGGGAGGGAAAGATGGTGGGGGGGCAGAGATAGCTTTCCAGTATCCGAGTTATCAAAACAGTAAGCCTTCTTACCTTGCAGCAATAAAAGCCCAACGAACAAATTAGTGGGTGGGGGGAATATCTTCCATTACTTCTTTTCTTCTTCTTTTTTTTTTTTTTTTTTTTTTTTTTTACAAGAACCTCTGGAGCTGTGTTCTGTCATTTTAGCTTGAGCAAGGCCTGTCACTTGTAGGAGTAGTTTTAGTTTTTAGCCACTTTCAAGTACCGTATTTCACTCCTGTACAACAGTTTTCTTGCAGAATTAATTGCTCTTTTATTTTACAGTGACCTTGACTGTGTTTCATATCTGAAGTAAAACGACATTTGAGTTTTCTAATTTAGAAGCACAAAAGAGGTTGAAAGAGACAGCAGTTAGTACCTGATTCGCATGCCGAAAAAAGGTGCTTGTGTTAAATTATAGGCTGCTGAAGCTGGGACCAAAGATAACATTATTAGACTTTTGAAATAAATATGATTAATGGGACAACAGGGCTATCATTTGGGCCACCTCTTGTGTATATACCGTATTTATTTTCATGAGTAGAATTTCATCATTTAAATCAAGTATGTGCGTGCATCTGGTTTTTTTTAACCTCTCTCGTTTCCCCCTCATTTGGAAGTTTAAATTGTCTAAAAATGTTCTTGTTTTCTGAAGTCCACTCTGGCAGAATTTTTGGAAAAGGAAGACTCTCCCCTTGTGTATTGTCTCTTCCTCTGGTTAAGATCTATGAGATTTAGGAGAATAAAAAGTTATTCTTTGTAATGGAAAAAAAACTGTCCTGAGATGTGAAGAGAGTAGTCAATGGGAGAGAGCTGCCATTTTTTTAAGGCTTTGAAAAGACAGGATAAAGTGAGGGCTCTGGCTCGTGCTGAGCTCGCTGGGAACAGCTGCCATGCAGGATTCCTCCTGAAAACCTTGTCCAAACAAATCATCATTTAAATATAGAATTGTTGCTTTACCAAAGCCTCAGTCTTGCAAGATCTTTCACGTCGGTGCTTGAGATGAATGTATTGTAGCGTGGAAGCCTACAATACATCTTTCAGTAGTCTTTTAACCTCTGTTTGGTACGAGGAGAATCAAAGCATAGGGGCAACGCTCAGCTTGTGCTCACTTGCGTTTCATAATGCCTTGGGTTTTGTGAAGCCTGTAAAGAAATTTGGAGTCCAGCAATGATGCTTCCCCCTGCATTGCCTCTCCAAGTATGGATACAGATTGTATAAATTTCCCACTATTTTTAAGACTGAGATAAAGGAGATAATACCCTTTCACAAAACCAAACAGGTTTTTTTAACCTTTTAAAAGCACAGACATGGTAGATACTGGGTGGACAGTGGCATCAGCATGATGGATTGGCACAATTCCCATGCCTCCCATGGGGTCAACAGAAGCGTGCATTATTCTGACATGCTGGGTTGTTGTGGGTTTTTTTTTTTTTGGGGGGGGGGGGGGAATCTTTCAGATCCTTAAATCATCTTTTGTGAGCAAAGATCAGAAAATGTTATTCCAGCAGCCAAGCTAGACCTATCAGCTTCCCCCCCCCCTTAAAACACAGCAGTGTACTTTGTTCTCCACTTCCTTGCCTTGACTTTACCCTGCAGGACAGAGCGCTGTGGCTTCATTGTGTATCTCTTGTTTTGCACCAGCCTCCATCATATTTGTGTTTTGAAAATCAGTGTGTCTTTCAACTCCCCCCTGGGAAACAGCTGATTTCTTTGTTTTGACAAACAGAATAAGCACATTTTTTGAATACCAGTATGACCTGATATGCTAAGAGTTTTTGCTCATGCTTATGTCTCTGACCAAGATGTTAATTGCCATCTCAGAAGCCGAAAGTCTGTTGAAATGGCAAAAAATGAGATATTTGGCGTATCTGAAAGATGAAATATTAATGTTTTTTTCCCTAAGGGCCTGAAAAACCCTTAACTGTTACCAAGATTAAATATTTTGAAAAGTGTCCTAATA